TAAAGATTTCGGTTTTCTGTCCCTCAGCCTCCCGGGAGGCTGGGTGCAGCACCTGCTGAGGGAAGGGGGAGGAGGGGGTGTCCCTTTCCCTGGGGCTGAGGGAAGGGGGACAGAGGGGTGACCCTGTCCCTGCTCCCAGAGGAGGCGAGGGAGGAGGAGGGGTACAGGCCCTGTCCCACAGCAGCCCCATCAGCCAGCCCAGCTCACCTGGGCCTGGTAAGAAAACTGGGCTTTTTTTTTTTTTTTTACTTCAGGTTTTGCAAATACAAGAAGAAATTGAGACAGTATCCACTGCGGCTCTGCTATTGTGCTTACTGAAGTCTGCAGTAAAGAGTTTGGGTGTATTCTGCTTCCTGAGGTGCAGGGTGTTCCATGAACCTCATCCAGGCTCTGACAGCCTGTCACCCAGGACAGACATTTGCCTTCCCAGGACAGGACACCCTGGCAGGAGCAGGGCAGGGGTGTGGCTCTAAGGGCAGGTAACTTCATTGCAGGCCCACAGGGGCCATCTGCAGCGTAGCCAGCAAACACCACTGCCACATGGACTACATATACCTACCAAAATCAGTCCCTTGGAGCTGTCTTTACAGTATCACCAAGAACATTTCTGTAAGAAGAGGGGCTAATGTTGATATGTGTTCTTAAGAGTGACAGGCTAGTAGATTTTCCCACCCCAGCCTCAAGGTTGGAGCTAGAATCAAGAGTTAAATGGGTACCATCAGCTAGCATCTAGAAGACAGCCCTCTGTGTGAGGATAGAGTGGGAAACACCAGGCAATTAGGAAAACCCACACAAGCCAAAATAACTTAAAGCAATAACCCCCTTAAAAAAAACCAAAACCCCAACAAAACCCCAATTTAAAAAGAGACAGTCCCACCCTGCATTGTTTCTCCTTCCTAATGTATTTAAGTGCTACAAAACACTAGCATGAACAGCACTACAGAGGTAAAAGCAAAATAGGTTTTTTTTTTTTTAAGAGTTACCATAGCAAACATTAATTTATCTGTGTCTCAGTGAAAAGGCAGAACCCATTTCTTATCTTTAAGACTTCATCCATACTTTTAAAGAGCATTAAGTTTACTGGGGAAATTATGCAGCAATCTCTTAATTAAAATGCAATTTCTAGAAGAGAGCTCATCTTAGATAAACTTACTCCAGCACCCCAATAAGAGCAGGTTGTTTTTCCCTTGCAAAAGATTGTAACTCAATCTTATCAGCTTTTACAGCTACCATGCAAGTAAAAGTTCCACCCAGAGCTGTGGAAAGTCTGCAGTGATAGAAAACAAACAGAAGAGTAATCCTCTGTTTGAAATAGATTTGAGTGTGGAAATCCAGTTTGACTGTGACAAAGAAACTGATAACAGAGTTAAGACCAGTTTATCATAAGGAAGTGCACTAAACTTCTTTTCCAGGGGAGCAGACAGACAGTCATAAAAGCACTTGTGAGACATACTACAGACACAGAAATTGAAATCACATCCTCACCGAATCAGAAGTTAACTCGTGACAGCAAAACTGGGCCCAACAAGACTATGACACCCTGTTCTGTATGAAGCCATTGCCTATACCATGTACATCCGTCAAGGACAGAGGCACTTTTTGGCCTGGGCTACGCAAAGTCATCTAACAGCAACCTCTAGTGGCTCCGGGAGCTTCCTGACAGATCTGTCCCATCTTCAGCGGGAAACAAGGGGAGGACACAAGACAAACACCAGCAGCACCAAAGCCCTCTTCTGGAAAACAGAGCAAAACTTGCTTCCAGGGAATCGCAGGAGGTACCAGAATAGTCAAGGGTGTTCCTAGTCACATCACCGGTCTGAGCGTGACCACTTTTGCAAAGGAAGCCTTGAGTTCACTTGGAGAGAAAACAAAGAACAAGACCCTCACTGGTTTAGCTGCAAAATTACCAAAGGCTTTGATGTATTGCCATTGCCTGAACTCTGGTTAAATAACCAAGATAATTAAACCTTGGCTATCCACAGCTGTCTTTTCCTCAAGTCCATCTTAAAGGCAGTTCCTAACCAATGTGTTTTTGTCTGGGCCAAGCAACAAACTCCCATCATTGAGGAGACTTCAGTAATACAAGTGAGTACCATTTTGTTAAAAAGTAATTTCTGTCATGACAAATTGGATAATTTACCAAGTTACCCCTCCACCCACAGACTTTCTAGGTGTGTTCCAGCAGCGTCAGGGGCCTTGAATGTCTTCTCTGTAAAAGGAGTACCAGCACCATTACACACAAGAGTTTATCCAGCCGGTAAGATCAGAGAGATTCAGTGTTTTTCCTCCACAATCACTGTATTCAAACCATTGAAATCAACTCATGCTGGATTTTATAAGCTATATTGTAGACAAAAATATATTTTGAGTTCAAACATGGAAATACAACATTGCAGGAGCTAGGTTTCAGTACCCCTAAAGCTGAGGATTTTGATAAAGCTGAAGTGCAGTGTTGATTCACCTGTTCAACAGGGGAAAAGATACATGGTTTCTGTTACAAAATACTTTTAAATGCCACCTTAATATGCATTCTATTAAAAGTACATTCATTTGGCAAATTTTTCAGCTTGACAGAAGTTGTCAGTACTCAAGTAGATTACAGACAGCTGATCTGAAAGCAAAAAAAACCACATTTCACAAACTACAGAAAGGCATCACCATTTACAGCATTCAGAACAACATCATTTGCTTAATAATCTGCAACAGTACAACTGGGCCCATACAAACCCATGTATTCTTAATTGCTTTGTGGGCAGTGTTATGATGCTTTCTTGAAACCTTTTAGAATGGGGTAGATGTTCTCAAATGCCTCATAGATTTCAGAACGCTCTTTTGCTCCTAGAAAGACATTTAGGAAAAAAGATGTTAAGAATTAACAGAGTGTTGAGAATAACTGAATGCAACTCAAACTCAATGATAAGATGACAAACCATGCAGAAACACAGGAGTTTAAAAGCAAATTACTATTAGTTTAAGGCAGAAATTCTGTTATACTTCTGCCACCTCAGAGAACAATTTCTAGCTTGGTTTTAGACTAGACTAGTTTTGTTTAATCTATGGAACCAAAACAGGAGTTGGCTACTCTTGACAGGTGCAAAACATTGGCTTTGGGGGAAAAAAAAAGGCAGCTGAGAAGAGCCATGGTATTACCTGCTTAACAGTAACAGCTCTGCCTGTTGATAAGGTAAGTGTGAAGACAGAAAAAAAGAAATGAAGGGCATTTATTCCAATACTGCAAGTTGATCCACAGTTCAAGAACTCCCCTCCTCCAGTTCTAAGCAGCTATTTTAAAGCTTTGTTAGGGCACCTGTGATTTCTAAGCTAGCCTTTTCCATGTGACTGCAACCAAATCTTTAGTACCAGCCCTTGGACACTGACTGTATTGCAGTGAACAGGAGCATTCCTTGCCAGTGACACTAATCTATCATGCTAGGACAACAAACAAACTACAAGAAAACTGCTTTTAAATGAGCTAGCAGTTGGATTAAGTGCCAGTTGGGATGAACATGTAAACCTTTCCCCTGGAGCACACATGGACACAACTATTCATCTGCATTACTACAACTTTTGAAATAAAAAGTTGCTTTTGAGTTACTTTCTTGATTAGGGAAAAAACCTCCCAGCTCAGCAAATGCAGTTTTGTCATTACAGTTGGGCCCAGGGTTCACAGCGAAGGACTTACCCTCATGCTTCTGGGCCCGCTGCACACTCAGGGGTGTTGCAATTAGTGTACCCAAAAATGCGAGTATCAGTGGAATGGAACTGGCCAGTATGATTTTACTGGACCTAGGAGGAAGCTGGGGGATACTGGAGGGGGAGGTGTTTAAGCTTTGTTGTGAGTGCCCCATTCTTCAGTTGGCTGAGCTCATTCATGGTGTACAACCACCATTTACCTTTCAGTACATCTGAATAAAAGTTTTTCGGGAGCTTTACAAAAGAACATGTTAGGAACATGCACTCAGGAATTCAGGTTTTTTTGACATGGAATCCAAGGTACAGCTATCTGCTGAGCACACTTACTCAGCAAGGCTCATGCCTCATTTCCCAAACAGCCTGGAACAAGTTCTTAGATCTCCACCCTTTCCTCTAATAATCCCTACTAAATGCTGTCAGTGAAGTGTTTTAAGAAGTTTGCTTCCTGTCCAAGCAATTTTAAATTGCTTATTGTGATATTCAAAGTGACTGAGTGGCACGTTAGCATCCTATTGGGATTCTGTACATTGACACACAGCATAATCCTTTGAATAAAGACACTCAAGTTTAACAACATGGAAATCTGAGACACTATTTGAAGCACAATATGATATTCTAGTGCAGCAATACCAATACTGTTATCTGCAGAAAACACAGATAAGCAGCAATAGGCATTGAAAAGATCACCGAGTGGCTTTACTGCAGCAAGATATTAGTTTAGCTAATGTTCAATTTAAATGCTTTCTTGAAAGATGTAGCACTTGATTACAGATACACAGAGGGGGACCACTTACCAGTCAGTACAACTTTTCCAGACACAAAGATGAGGAGCACTATTCTTGGTTTGACCATCCTATAAATAAGGCCAGGAAATAGTTCGGGCTCATAGCTGTTTCAAAGCAAGCAGGTAAGATTAGTAAAATGCAAATACTGCTTCAGTGTTGTATGCCTAAAGTGCTCTTTAATTATACCAATAATAGAGTAATTAAACCCCCAGATTTTAGCTGGCTACCCAGAGAAAGGTGGGTCAGGTGTTAGACACCTTCAAGAGCAACCTGGTAATCCCAGCTGGAGCTGGTAGGAGTTCTTCATGCTGACTTTTAAAGACTTCTGAGACACTTCCAAACACAATTTTCCATGGCATTGAAACCATTATTGTGATCTTCAAACAGTACTCCAATCCTTCTTAGTCTGCAAAGAGCCCTTATCAGGAAGAATCTTGTGCAACTAAGACAAGACGACAGCCAAGAGAATCTTTAATATATATTTAGTCCCCAAATGAAATGCAAAATATTAAGTGCAATGCTAATAAAACCAAACTTAATTTTGATTTTGTCAGTGCTGAAATCCTCATCCTTTCCTCAGCAATGCCAGTAACTAGTTCTGAACAAGCCCATCTTGAAGACACAGCATGCCCATCACTCAACTACAGGTTTACTTTAAATTGAGGGCTAATAGACATCCAGACAGAAAGAACTGAAGCGATATCCCAGAAACACACTTTATTTTCAATTCTGTATTTTGCAGCTGCAGTCCAACATCGTGCCTGAAGTTTGGAAACCTTATCCTTGCAGACAGCATCTGGTTTGATGGGAGTTGAGATGGCTGCTTAGTATTAAAGATTCACAACGGAGCAAAGGCATAGACCAGATAAGAGTAGCTTAAGAGCTGCTCCAGTTAAACCCAAAGTGTTTAATCAAGACCAGTTATTTTCCCATTGACATGGTCTGCAGGGAAGAAACTCACTAAGGTTTGATATTGAACTTGGCAGTAACAGAACAGTAATATTGTGATCACCAACACTGCTCAGAGTAATGAAAATCTCTGGTGTGCGTTGCTTATACACAGCAACACTGGAGATTGTGTTGGCAATATTCACAGTCAAAGAAAGCTTTTACAAAAGAGAATATCTTCATTAACCAACTGAGCCAAGAACCCACAAGCTTCTTCCAGTTCTTCAGCCCTGAAGATTCAGCCAGATCTAATGTGCATCCATCCAGTTTACCCCAGAAGCGACTGAACTCTTGTGTAGCATGGTGCCAGTTGCAAGGTTTATAAAGCTGGTGTTTACAGTGTTCTTGCAAGGAGAAAGCCACAAACACCACACAGGAGGGCAATTCAGAAGAGCCCTTCACTGGTGAATTGTGTCAGTCATGGTTTGAAGCACCAGAAGCTTAACTGCTAGCAATTAAGCAGAGGGTTGTTTTGGCCCATGCCCCGCTCAGAACAGGTTTTTTTTGGTCACCAAAAGACATGCTTGATATTCAGTATCCAATTAATTATTACTCTGTTTTCCCAGGCTTGTACAGCCTCAGAATTTGAGTCTGCAATTTACAAAGACACTGCTCCAAGTTGCATGGGTTTATAACTCCGACTTCCACATACCTAGTGAGTGAGAACCAAGCCTTCCAGCCGGATGGGGAACCTCACATCACAGCTCCCAACCATATTCTGGATCTTGAAGTCCAGGAACTTGGCAGGGAAGCCAAGCTTCTGCACCACGCGTGCGTACTTCCTGGCTGCCAGCCGTGATTGCTCTTCGCTGGGGGAAGAGCAGAAGGGGAAAGCAGGTTTGGTTAGTGCTTTCTGCTGCTCTCAAGATGTAAGTTCAGTTTAGAGCCACCACTGTGCTAATCTGTGCTCCAGAAAAAGATATGTTACTGCTCAAAATAGCAAGCCTCTATCCCCAGAACCACTTCAGTGAGCTAAAATGAATAAGGCACTTTTATTCCCAGGAGTTTCCCCATCTTCATAAGTTTCTTTCTCAATTCCTTTCAACAGCTTCCCAGAGCTGATCCAAGAGGTAAACTGCAAACACTAGTACAACCATTTAGCTAGTTTGGGATGGTGGTAAGTGTTGGAGAAGGTCTCCTGAGTTATTTCATTATCTCATTGGCAGTTCAGAGATGTAAAAAAAAAATCAAGGCAGCTGCTGAACTGGAGGAAAAGAGCCTCGAAGTACAGAAATAATGTTTGCTTTTCTCCAGTTCCCATTTTCTCTAGAGGCAGGTGTGTTGACTAGTGATCACAGACACCGAAGAGAGACTTGACAGACACAAGTTCTATCGTAACTCACTTTAAAGTTGGTGAGAAATGCAAATGACCCATTAACAAGTCCTGGGCATTTTAGCAGCTTTTCTGCTAATGTCTGCTCAGCTCAATCCTTATGCAGGGACAGAAGCACACAGTTCAGTAATTACTAAACTGACACCATGAAGAAAGCTAGACACCAGGGCTTTTTTTTTTTTTTTTTTGCAATTATGAGAGCCCTTTGCTAGATAATTTAAACAAGGTTTTCTGACATTTTTTCATCAGAATATAGGCATGGCTGCAAGGACCTTTAAAGGGAAGAAAAAACATAAAAATACCTTTTTGCTCCCGTGCACACCATTTTTCCTGAACTGAAGATGAGAGCTGTTGTTCGCGGTTCCCTGATTCTCATGATCACAGCAGCGAACCTCTACAAATTCAGAGGAAGACCTCACAGTCCAGCTGAGCAGTTTACTGGTATTTATTTCTGTTCATTCTTTTAAGAATTGTCACTTTCAAAGCTCAACACAGCGTGCATTTGTTTTGTGAAAGTCTTTATTTACCACCCTGAAGTTATTTTCCACCTCCCTGGGACCAGGGGGCTTAAGACTACAGTCACAGGACCACTGCCTTGTCCTTAGATTTTGTTCAGCATTCTGAAGTCACTTATAGAAAGGCTGTTATTCCCAGGAAGATTTTACAGTCTAGGACACTTGCTAGAAGTGCAATACTACAAAAACACTATTAGAAAAAGTACAAAGCTCGTGGTGAATTTTTATATTAGAATCCATCAGCACTGAGAAAGGGAAGAGAGTAAAGCTTTGAGTCCTTAAGATTTACCTTTGGGTTATACTCTGCATTTCTGGCATGCAGAGCTATGTTCTTCAGATCTAGTTTACAAGCCAAGTTTACAGTCGACACTATATTCCTGAGGAATGAGAGAGGAATTTTCTTATTGCAAAAGCAAGCCGCAGCAGAGCCAACCCCCAAAATTGCTAGCTTCATGTGAAATCACACTCCAATTAATAATTGCCATCAACTAATTTCCTGCCTACCTCTTTCCCACTCTAGCATTAAGCTGCTTTTGGCAAAACTTAAGTAATTCAATACCAAAATTACAGTTTCTGAGATATAACAAGGTATGAAATTATTAGTCCCTGAATACTAAATTTGCATGTCTTCCAATAACTCAATCGCTGAAGTCTTTTACTGCTTCGAATTAAAGCATTGCTGTGTGTTTATAGAGTTACTACAGCACTCTGAAGGTAGGTAAGGGTTTGTTATTCTCTATAGGTATAAACTACTCCGTAGTTGCTCCAGCCTAGACAGGACCTTTTAACAAGGCCAGAATTTGTCACACTTATTTTCATGCCCTTTTCCCTTGCTCAGTTCAGACTATTTCTGCTCTCAGAAAAGCAGACTGACACCTTTAAACCCTGGAAGAAATCCTCCTCTTCAAGTATTTTTCATCTTTTCATCCTGTAGACAGAAGTAACTAACAGTACACACGATATATACACATATATAATACATACATAAACTTACTGTAACTGAGGAACTATGCCAGAGCTTTCTGATGCAGGTGTCACTGGGGTCATCGGAGTCATCGGTGTCAGGGGAGGACACACACCAGATGCTTCAGGAGATGGTTGAGTTCCATCTGGATAGGACAAGCTGCTTTCATCCATGAAGATACCACTGTCCTCATTTCTTGGTATTGACCCATCCCCATCCGGCTCTTTTTGCATTTCCTGGACATCTTCAGATAGATTTTGTTCTTTGTTATCTTGGGTAATATCTGGAAGAAAGCTGAGATCTACAGAGGAGAAGTCTGTCGAAAGCTCTTTGGGCTGGTTAAACTGAGAACCCAACAACACATCGTCGGCTGTTTGAATCGGAAGGTAGGCATCGTAAGGGCTCATGGGAGTAAAGAGCTGAGGACTAGTTGAGATGTCATCCTTGATTGAAGAAAAAGTGTCATTAAAGATCTTGTATTAAAGCATGAACTGGGAGACTAAATTAAGATTAATCTTCTATTCAACAAAGAAGTTGAAGTTCTTTTTCCCCCTACACATTATAGCAAAGAATAGTCTTAAGATCTGAAAGCGTGTTGCTTGCGTTTGAGCATATAAAAATGCATTTTCCCACCACACTTCAAATGCAGTCTAGAGCATTCCTGTAATACCACAAATCAAGAAATACACTTCACCTTCAGCAGCAGCTGGAGGTACACTGGTGACTCTTTGCCCTTCACAGCCATTGTTGTTAGGCACATAACCAACATAATTGCTTATGAGTTTTTCCAGAGAAGACAGCTGGTATTTTCTGGCTGGCTTCAACTCCCACTCTGTATATTACTGTTTCCTCTCCCTGCTACCGGGGACAGTGTCAGTGTCGTGTTGGATTTGTGCAACAGAGGGCAGCAGCTCACAGAATCACCAGCAGTTCATTCTTTCAGCTGCTGGAGGTCACCAGACTCATTTAAGTCTGACACAGTCAGCAAAGCCAGCATCCTTTCCCAGATCAAACATGCAACATATCTACAAGCAAGTTCTTGCACACTAAGGTCCTTTATCAGCTATTTATTATTAAAAGCTAGTTAAAAGGCATAATATTGATAAGGCAAGAGTTTAGGAAAGGATTTATTCTCTTATCCATCCATCCAGCCTCTAGTTAGTGGAACGCTTCTTCCAAGAAGGTGGTTTCTGCCAATGCCCACAGCAGGTGACAGCTTGGACTAGATGATCCATACAAGAGGTTTTGCATTCATTTAGGCATTTTTGGGGAGCTTGAGAGCTAAAAGGAATTAAAAATCCAAGCACAAATCAGAACAGGGAACAGTGCATAAAACTGAGTCCGTTGAGTTGGCAGCAGCTGCCCAAGCTGCCCTGGGAGCAGGGTTTCTGGATCACAGATCAATGCTCACAGATCAGCCCTGGGCTAGCACTGCTCTGTGGGCTGTGCTAATCAGCATACTTGGCAACACACCATGCACACGGGGAGGTCACTGCTCCTACTTTGCGGGATATTTCCCTGTAGACACTTGGAAAACTCTTACTAAGTGCCAAGTCCCCCCAGAGAACCCTGACTAGCTGGAATACAGATGTGAGCAGGTTTAGCTCTGAAAGCATCATGAACACCTAGGCTCAAAACTGTTTCTAAACCTGATTTCTAGATACGGAGCCCTGCACAAGAACATTTGGGGCAGAATCCTACTGAATAAGATGAGGTACTCCTTAATCTTAGAAAGCCAGATCCAAGAGCACTATCTGAGAATGAAGAGGTCAGATACAACTGTATTAAGAGTTACAAATAGCAATATACTATGGAATAGCTAAAACATTTATCTTTTAAATAGATTTTTTTTTGAGTTAGCAACAAGGGAAGGAAGGCACAGTCTCTGCAAGGCTTCCAGAGAACTAAGGCTTAGCCATACCAGAGGAAATTAAGAAAGTTTTGTATGAACCATGATACAGAGAAGATGGTACAAAAAAAGCCTCATCACTGCAAGCCTGGAGGACTACTCATGCATCACACTAAGGGGCATCAGAGAAGGTGATAAACATAAGTCAGCATCCCCCCAGTTTGTGGCATAGCTTAAAGAAGGAAGCTGACGGAGAAATAAATGGCATGAGGCTGGAAGTGTAAACAGCTGTAAAACAAGTGGGGAAAAAAAGGCAACACAAAGTAAATTGCATAGAGTAGGTAGAAACAGAAAGAAATCTTTTCTAATCAGGTTTCCGTATAAGTGCTCTGGGAAAAAGCCTTTACAGGGTTAAGTGCCAGGGGAAGATTGTCTCCTTGTTAGACAGATGCTCAGAGGCTGTGAAAAGGGGCACAAGACCATGTTTATGTTGGGCTGGCTGCCAGGGGTTATTGCTACAGACTCTGGGTTAATTAACTTCACTGAAGGCCCCCATCAACTGCATAGCTTTGGACATCTCCCAGCAGCTCCAGGAAGGAGATTTCACACATAGATCCTGTCTGAGATCACAAAGTTTGGGGCAGCTTGATGGGAAACAGCCATTTTCACTTCCACTGCAGGAATCCCTGCAAGCCAGGTACACGTAAATCAAATCCAGCTGCTTTTAAGTAAGAAACCTGGATTTTTTTTTTCTTTCTGCAGTGATATTTCACACATCTGCTGTTATGAAGTATCCTAGCAAGCCTGAAACACAAAAAGCTCAGTGGCATTTGTAAAACCCTGGATAGACCTCAGCACATTACGTACTTTATAGGGCCGTATTCAGAAAGCTTTACTGGCTGCCACGAGGAGGTCTCTGGATTTAAACAGACTGTGCTAAACCCATTTTCTGAGCTGAAAAGTAGTTTACAACAGGATGCACATAAAGAAGTTGTGTTCCCTGGGTGAAGATGATGCTCAGCTGTGGAGTCCAGCTCTCTCCTACTCATAGAATCACAGAATGGTTTGGGT